CGACTCTCTAATTTTATACTCTTTGGTTCTTTCGGTAAAGTCACGTAGGTGAAAAAAGTAATAATAAATACATATTTAAAAAGATAAATAAATAAATCACGCCGTTTCGATTGCAACACAAGTAATCATCATCAGGTGTGACAACCACAGCAAGGAAATTTTTACTGAAGTGGGAGAGAGACCAGGGTTAGGGCAGTTAAATAAGTCAGAGAGGGAGAGGGTAGGGGGGGGTGAATGGTGTGAATGATTGCTTGTGTTGCAATCGAAACGTCGTGATTTATTTATTTGAATTTTATTTATTTATTATTTACTTTTCCCACCTACGTGACTTTACCGAAAGAACCAAAGAATATGGATCCTTGCAGTCACGAAAACTTCAAATCTCTAATTTTACATTAACATGTTCACACTAACAAAGCTGCAATTTACATTGGCATGCTAATCTCTTACATTGACATGCTAATCTCTCTCACTTTAACATAACTAGCCCCGCCCACTTTGTTTATGACCCTTGGGTTACACCTATTTCAAACATTTAAAACAGAAGCTTTCCCTCTCTTTTTTCACCTGATGACGATTGCTTGTGTTGCGATCGAAACGTTGTGATATTTTTATTATATTGTATTCACTTTGTTTCTATTATTTTATTGTTCTATCCACGTGACTTTACCGAAAGACCGAAATAATATATAATGGTTACTTGAGGAGGGTATTGTCTAATCTGTTGGTGGTGGTGTCACTTTGTAGATTGAAAAAAATCCGCAGCATCGTCAGGAGGCAAGGTTGGTAGAGGCTGCAGTGATGTCAGCTGATGTCTGAGTTGGTGAACCGCACATACACCAACAAACACAGCAGCTTGAATACAGGTGTAATGAGAGTGCCATCGCCTGGATTACTGGGGGGGGGGGAGGGGGTGGGGGGCGGACATTACTTATCCACAGTATGGGTTTATATCTGGGGTAAAGTTGAGGGGTGGCTCCACCAGGGAAGCCTCTGGAACATTCGGGAAGGTTCCAGAAGGGGCGTGGCCAGAGGCGGGGCTTCGCCTCCGGAGGGAGGATATTAGCGGGACACAGAGCTAACGCGAGGGGTCGCTGCCTCAGATGGATTATTATTTTGATGCTTTGTCCGGAGCACGGTTTTTCTCTACACTTGACTTGTCTTCTGGTTTCTGGCAACTGCCCCTCGATGAGTCCTCGAGGCGGAAGACTGCGTTCCGTGCTCCGCAAGGTCTTTTTCAATTTAATTGTTTGCCGATGGGATTGAATCCCGCTTCTGCCACATTCCAGAGACTTATGGAACTTGTCTTGGCCAGTTTCCAATGGGACACTTACCTTATCTATCTGGACGATGTCATTGTGTTCAGCCGGTCATTTGAGGACCACCTCCTCCGACTGCGCGCTGTTTTTTGAGTGGATGCGTTTGCCAAATCTGAAATTTAAACCCAAAAAGTGTAATCTTTTGCAGAATTCAGTGCGGTATTTGGGTTACATTGTGAGTGCCGACGGTATTTCAACCGATCCCGCTAAGACGGCGTGTGTACGTGATTGGCCGGTCTCTGCGAGTGTAGGAGATATCCGGAGCTTTGTTGGCTTCACCTCCTATTATCGTCTGTTCATTCCGGGGTTCGCGTCTATCACGAAGCCGTTGCATGCGCTTACGGACAAAAATCAGCGGCTCTATTGGGGCCCGGAGGATTAGGCTGCTTTCAACACCCTTCGTGACCGCTTGTCGGATGCGCCTACTCTCGACTATCCTGATTTTTTGTCCCCCTTCATCTTTGACACTGACGCCAGCGACACAGGTATCGGGGCTGTCCTGTCACAGGTGAAGGGGGGCGTTGAACGCGTCGTGGCATATGGTAGTCGGGTGCTTTTGCCGGCAGAAACTCGATATTGTGTCACTCGTCAGGAGTTGCTGGCGATTGTTCACTTTGTTCGACCTTTCCGGCACCTATTTGTATGGCAGAAGATTCGTTATACGCACTGATCACGTGGCCCTCCAATACTCGTTAAAGATCGAGCAGCCGGGTGGTCAGTTGGCACGTTGGTGGGAGTGTTTGCAGGAATATGCATTTGATGTCACCTATCGGAAGAGGACTCGGCATGCTAATGCTGACGCGCTGTCAGGAATTCCGCACGCATCTCGGTGTGCGTTCCGATTAGGGATAAACCGCTGTACTCCTTGTGACGTGTCTCGCCCCTTGGCTGCGTCCCCGGTTGAGATGGTTTCGTGCGACACGGCAGCTCCGCCCGCCGACAGTGTGTTGCGCCTCTCGCGTTCGGTGTGGATGCGTGAACAATTCTGGGATGATTCTTTGACCTCTTTGCGGGCATCGGGCTGAACCGGTTGCGGGTGATTCGGGATCGATTAAGGAGGGTCGTGCTTTTGTTCACGACGGCTTATTGATGTGGCAGGATGCCATACCGGTTCGGCTACGATTGATTATGCCTAATTCCCTCCATACAGGGCTGACCCGCACCTTGCATTATGAACGCCTTTTCCATCTTGGTGTTCAGAAAACGCTGTTTACCCTTCAGAAGGATTATTATTGGCCAGGTATGACGTCCGGTGTTACTGTGGCGCTTCGGTCATGCACCGAGTGTGCACAACGGAAGTCACCCCTGCAGCGTTATGTTCCGCCCTTGCAATCGATTTCTGTCACGCGTGTCAATGAATTGGTCACCTTGGATGTGCTGGGGACGTTCCCTGTGACACCTCGCAGGAATAAATGTATCCTCGTCGGCGTTGAATATTTTTCCCATTGGCCTGTGGCATGGCAACTGCCAGATCAATTCACTTTATCCATTGTTGATGCCTTTGTGAATGGCTATGTCATAGATAAGGGGGCGCCGGAAAAGTTGCTCACCGATCAAGGTAGGAATTTTACGTCCAAGCTGTTGCAGGACTTGTGTGCTGCTTTGGGTACCAGGAAGATCTCTACGTCTCCCTACCACCCTCAGACGGATGGTATGGTGGAGCGGTTGAATCGTACCTTGTCCGCTACGTTGTGCCAGACGGTCGATGAACGACAGGCCCTCTGGGATCTGCAGATACCCAGCATCCTCTCTGCTTACCGGATGGCACCTCATGCTTCTACGGGATAGTCGCCGTTTTTCCTTATGTATGGAAGGGAGAACACGCCGCCGGTTGATGTTCAATTGGACTCTCCGGTTGCATCTCTTAAGTCGACTCTTCCCAATTACATTCAACAGTCCCTTCGGCGGGTTTCGGAGGTGCGGGAGGCTGCCAGGGTGGATACTTATAAGACCCAGGCTCGGAATGAGCGGTGTGCACGCCGGTCGAAAGGGGACATGCCATGGTCGGTTGGTGATGAAGTGTGGCTTCATTGCCCACAGGTGCCTGTTGGCACCTCTGCTAAACTTCACAAGTCATGGCAAGGCCCTGTGACGATTGTTGAGGTTTTGCGCCCTCAGTGTGTTCATATTCGTCACGGTCGCCGACGTTGGTGTGTTCACCCGTCATGATTGAAACCATTTGGTGCTCCTGTGGCGCCATTGTCATCCCCAAATCCCAGAATCCCGGTGCCTGGTGTGGCCAACGGACCTGTTGCCCCTGTGCAGGGTGATCTTCCGCAGCCTGTTTCTTTGCCGCCCACAGCACCCTTGAGGGTGACGGCTGGTCCGGAGGACGTCGCCAGTCCCCTATGCCCATCTGCGGGGGATCTGGCTGGATCGCTCTCTGCTGGACCGCTGATCCCACCGGCCAGTGTTCCTGTTCCGCCGCTGGCGGACGGACCAGCCATGCTCTAAATTGTTGTGGTTTTCTTAAGCCATTCTGGGATTCATTTTGCGTGTTCTCTTCCGCTGGGTTGTTGTTGCGTTCTATTTCACTTTCCAGTTTCGTTCTGCCCAAGTGGCTGATGGCGCTCTGTTGTGTTGCTCTTCCTTAGCCGGGGCAGCTAGATTTTTGTTAACACGGGGCGGGGGGGGGGGGGGAATGATGTAATGAGAGTGCCATCGCCTGGATTATCGGGGGGGCGTACATTACTTATACAGTCCATGCTTATCCATAGTGGGGTTTATATCTGGGGTAAAGGTGAGGGGCGGCTCCACCAGGGAAGCCTCTGGAACATTCGGGAAGGTTCCAGAAGGGGCGTGGCCAGAGGCGGGGCTTAGCCTCCAGAGGTAGGATATTAGTGGGACACAGAGCAACGCGAGGAGTTGGTGCTGAAGACCGAAGAGGAGCTCCCTGCCGCTGCTGCCCCACCATCTCCAACGGCTACATGGCGGCTCATCGTCCAGCCGCTCAGCCGCTCCCTAGCGTGCCGTCAACCAGTGGTGCGTTGGTGAGCGCTGGGTGAGCGCCACGTGGCGCGGGGCAGCGTAGCCACACGAGGGGTGGATGTCCGTAAAAGAAAGAGATGGAGAGAGCGTGGCTGTACCGAGCTTTTATTGAATAAACAACCGAAGTTACTTACCGTGTCGGAGACCACTCATTACACAGGTGTCGCGATTGGCTGTGGGATCCACAGGCATGCGGGAGACACGCCCAGCCACTTTTGTCTCCTCAATGATAATGTTTACGTTCAGTGCTAGGAACTAATTTAAGGGTGAGTCGATCTTGGAGAGGCCCGACTGGTTGAAATATTTGCCACTATTGTTAGTCATGAGTGGAAAATAGAAGTCGGTTTGGAGTGCAGTGCATTAACCACTGTACTCCCGGCTCCCCACATCACCACTACCATCACGTGATAGCCCCCCCCCAACCTCTTGTGCTCCAGCCCCCCATCTCGACAGATTGGGGATGGTTGCGGACAGGCAAATTACTCCCAGCTGCAGATCGTCTCGGTGGGGGGTTGGGGGTGCATTGGAGAAGAGTGATCCGGGTGGGCCACACAGGGACATTTGGTGGCCAAGGCCCATCCCAGGACATGCCCCTAAGCACCGGCCCTGCAGGGGTAAACAAGAGCCCCCAGCCCCCACAAAACAAAATTCCCATGGAGCAGGAACAGAGGAAGACGCAATCACGGGACTCACATCTGCACGTTGGGCTTGAGCCGCTGGCGGACCTGCTCCTCGTCTCCGGCAGGGCGCGCGGCGCCATTCCCTCCGAGCGCACTTCTGTAGATGGTCCAATCGATTCCAACCATGCTCAACCTCGTCTTGTGCTCTTGCAGGATCGTCATCATGAAGAGGAGGACGATGAGCGTGGTGACCACAATGAGCGAGCACACTACGTACTTGAGATACTGCATTCCTTCACACAGAACCGCTGCACACACAACAGCAGTCGCCATGTCAACTCGACCAACGGTGATGGTACCATGCATGCGCTCACGTCAGACCGAATCACCTGGACCTCGCCCTCTCGGAAGGCAAGCGGAGGTGATTCTCGTGGATAGTGCAAGCATGTGTGACCACCATGCTATTGTGGTGCCGCGGCCGTGGAGCAACTCCGCAAGCGCCACGACTCACCCCAGCGCACACACGCAGCGCACACACGTAGTGTCCCGGTGGGAGATCGCCTGGTACAACGGGTTTTCATCCGAAGGGTCCCTAGGAGGAAAGTCCCGCGGTTTCCCGGTGCCAGGAGATTGGCCGACCCTCGCAGGACAGGTCACATTGCGGTGCCCCTAAATTGGCTTTAAATTGTCTGGGCGCACAAAGGTTCACCGGGCCAGCCGCAATGAGTCATGCACGACATCGGGGAGGGGGGCTGGGTGAAATATTAAGCGAGCAGAGCAGACCATGAGGTCATGGGAACGCAACGCCACGACCTCCCCCAGACCAAGTACACACTTGCAGGGTGTGTATTCGCCAGCCGGACGCCCTTCCAGATTAAACGGGTTGAGTCAGAAATTAATGAGTACGGGCGCATAGGCAATAGGTCGCGAAGTCACCGTCGCAACGCTCCATGTGAGGGAGGGGAAACGAGCGAGAATCACCACAGGTAGGCACACGATTGGCCGCGGGGGATAACGCGACCGCGCGTCTTTGAAGTGAGCGCATAAAAAAAAGTAACCCGAGCCATTAAAGACAGAACTCTTATTCAACATCTTGGTCGCCAAGCACCCCCCCCCCCCCCCCCCAATGTCCTGCCTCCTCGAAACGCTCGCAGCACCCGTGTGATGCCAGCGAGTGCTCTACAAGGCAGCAATAGGCAAGGTTTTTTCGTCATCCTCCCTCCGACTCTCACAGCGTCCGTGTGACGCCGTGAGTACAGCTGCGAGGTACGTGACAGGGCATGTGAGTATTTGGGTAGCAGCAGTAGGCGAGGCTCTGCTCGTCGAATATTCCCTCCGGGTAGTGCGGGGGTTCGCGCCGCGGATTAAAGTTAGCACAGCGCATCGGTGTGGCGTCTGTGACTCCCGCGTGGAGCGGCTGCGTGGGCGGACGCCCCACCTGCCCAGCAAAGGCCGCGGGGGTGGAAGCCGACCCCCCTACACTATCAATGGAACGACATAATCTGACCATTTCGATTTAAAGCTTTCGTGACTGCAGGGATTCATCTTCTTGGTTATTTCGGTAAAGACACGTAGAATGGAAATAAAATAATAGAAATAAAACATAATAAAATAAAATAGAAATAAAAATGAAATAGAAATAAAATGAAAAAAAATATTATTTTACTTTATTATGTTTTCTTTTTATTATTTTATTTCCATTCTACGTGACTTTACCGAAAGAACCAAGAAGATAATCTGACCAGACGCAAACTCTGGCAAGTGGCACAGTCTCAAGCATGTCTCAAGCATGTCTCTGCTTCTTTGGTTCTTTCTGAAGAGATGCCGCGACTCTAAGGTAATACCAACCGCATTTACACTAACCTCTGCTGTTGCAACTTCTCTCAATGCAAAACGAATTCTAGCTAGAACTAGCTTCGCTCTTATCTCGGAAAAAATCAGACTTACACGCACCGAACTCGATCAGTTAGACAAGACACTCTACAAATCACACTTAAAATTGACAGCAACAATGTCTACATCGGATTGGGAACATGTAGACAATATGACTACCTCTTCGGCTGCCACTATGTCGAACAAATGTAGGGACAATTTGATTTCCAAATTCAATCACCTCTCCAGCAAAAAATCGGATCCACACACCGAAAAGATAGACGTCAACAAAGTCGTAATTAATCGCAGTAACAGTTCCATTTCTGATGGTCTGAAATCCGTTTTAGCTAAAGGTCTAAACTTTGCTGTCACACCGAGACACTTACCGGTTAATGATATCATTGCCCATGTCGACGTTGCACTCAAGGGCTTGAGTCACATCTCTGCAGACGTAGCAAGATCTGAAATCGCTGCAACCCTCAAAAACGCTAAGTTGCCACCCAGCAACATCAGCAAAGACGAACGTTTTGAATTATCTCAATTAAAAAAGAGGGATGATATTGTCGTTCTCTCAGCCGACAAAGGCAATGCCACTGTCATCATGGACAAAACAGAATATAACAACAAAATTCAAGAACTACTCAACGATGGCAGCTATACAAAAATAAAAAAGAGATCCCACCAACAGCCTGGTCACCAAAACGAACAAAATTATCTCTGATTCAACAGCATTAATTGATGAGATCAAACAGTTCTCGTTGAAACCCTCTGCTGCCAGACCACCAAGATTATATGGCCTTCCAAAGATACACAAAGAAGATACACCCCTTCGTCCCATCGTCTCTACTATCAGCTCCCCCACCTACAAAGTGGCACGTTTTCTGGCTGATATACTGCGACCTTTCACTGGAAAAACCACCTCTGCGGTACTAAATTCTACTCACCTGGTATCGACAATCAAAGACATTTCCCTGTCCCCAAACGACCTGCTTGTCAGTTTTGATGTGGTGTCCTTGTTCACCAAAGTCCCGGTACCTGACACCATCGCTATCATTGAAGACCTGGTTCATCAAGGACTGCATACTGATGTACCCCCCCCTGGTGAGACATTGCTTAACCACCACATACTTCACCTGGAATGGAACTTTCTACAAACAAACTGAGGGCACCCCAATGGGCTCCCCCCTATCTCCGGTTGTAGCCAACGTATTCATGGAAAAAATTTGAAACTGACGCCATCCAGACTGCCACTCTACGCCCGACCTTATGGAAGAGGTACGTTGATGACACCTTTGTCATCTGGCCACATGGCCAGCCTGCTCTAGACCAATTCCGCGACCACATCAATTCCATACACCCAGCCATCAGATTTACCATGGAGGTCGAAAAAGATGGCAAACTACCCTTTCTGGATGTCTTAATTAAAAGGAGACATGATGGTTCAATGAGCCACTCTGTCTACAGGAAAGCTACCCATACAGATGCTTACTTGAAACCGGATTCCCACCACCATCCATCCCAGAAGAACTGCCTCATCAAGACTCTATACCATAGAGCCCAATGCATTTCCGACCAGGAACACATTACCAGTGAACTCAAGCACGTACACCAGGCTCTCAGGGCTAATGGCTACTCCGACTACACAATCCGCAAAGCCATCACTCCAGTCATGAAGAAGGATCCTCTTGTGGAGCCACTCAAAACCATCACCTTACCCTACATTGCAGGGGTCACTAAAAAGATCTCCAAAATCCTGAATAAACACAAGATCCAGGTCCGATTCAACACAGTACACAAAATCCGTGATTTAGTTCCATCTGTAAAAGATGCTCTTCCAGACATACAGTACCCGGGCGTTTACAAACTAAAGTGCCTCTGTGGTAGTAGCTACATTGGAGAAACCAAAAGACATATCTCGGACCGCATCCGCGAACATAAAGCAGACTTGAAACACGGTAAGACGAACTCCTCTGCCGTGGCAGATCACTGTTACAATTCAGTGGGCTCACATGACATTGACTTCTCCAAGACGGAGGTTCTTTGCAAGCCAACCGGCTACCATGAGAGATTCGTTCATGAGGCCATTCACATATACAAGCACAGAGAGAATTTCAACCGAGAAGATGGATTCAGGCTTAGTGACCACTGGAAAGATGTGTTAAATCATTTCTGTTCTTAATTAATTGTAATTTTACGATGACCTTCAGACCGCAGCTCTTTCGCCAGCATTGCCTCTTAATACCTCTCACACCACGGTTAATGGTATGGTTTACAACATGGAGTATACTAGGGCCTCGCAGCTGTCTCTCTCCCCCTCCTCTGTTCCGACCATGGACGAACTCGTCCGTCTGAACGGGGCCCGTAGCTATCCGTGGTACGGAAATGTGAGGGTAAGAATCCACCCATTTTTTCGCCATATAGCATTGTGATATATAACGACTTATGGTTGGTAGCTTAGCTGATTGGAGAATATAGAGTTTATTGATAACATGAAGGTAATTTATATTTTAGTTTTTATTGGTTCACTATATAGTACTGTGAATAGCTCAGATGTGTAGTCATTTCTGTGACCAGTCACTAGCAAATCACCCAGTTATTTCAATGCTAAATTCGCCTAGTTATTTCAATGCTAAATTCTCCTGTTTGATTTGTACTAAGTGCCTCGGTGAATGTGTATGCTCTGACTTCAACGTAGCTATTTCTGTAGCAGTTACAAGCGAATCACTCAGCCATTTCAATGCTAAATTCTATGCTAATCCCATTGTCAAGGGGTGCCTCTGCGGATGTGTATGCCTTAACTTAGCTATTTCAATGCTAAATTCTATGCTAATTCCTTTTAACAATGGGTGCCTCTGCGGATGTGTATGCTTTAACTTTTAACATAGCTATTTCTGTGACCAGTCACAAGCTAATCATTCAGCCATTTCAATGCTAAATTTTATGCTAATTCCTTCGTCAAGGCTCTTTGTTCCTCTCACACAGCTTAAAAGCCGTGATCTGAACGTGGCTCTCTCACTCCAGCGCTGTCCTACCAGACAGTCTCGCCCCCTTCACCTGATGAAGGCCGCTTGTGTTGTGGCCGAAACGTCGTGAGAATATTATTGTGTTATTTTATTTTATCAATTTATTATTTTATTCTCATTCTACGTGACTTTACCGAAAGAACCAAAGAAGATGAATCATTGCAGTCACGAAAGCTTTAAATCTAAATGTCTCTGCTTGTCCTACGGGAGACGACACTTCATTGGCGGTTGGCAGCACGGACAAACACAACGAGAGCGGGGAAAGCACCCAGAAACTGCCTGCAACCAGAGGCGATGGCTGCGAAGCAAATGCAGTGGAGACTGCAGCATCTTGGACGAAAACTGGTTTCGAGACTGTCTGGCTCGCTTACAGAGAGATCTGTCGACAGATTAATGAATGAATCTCGCAGATCGTTCTAAGGATATCGAGTCTCGATGGAGTACTCCGACATTACTTAGCGACACCGTGGCTCAAATGTTCATAAAATTATGGCTGCACATATCGGAAGGCTGATACAACACAAACCTCCGATTAGCACGGTTGGCTACGTACGGTGCGAAAGAAGTTCTACATACATACAGACAAACACAGTGTGATGCCGCCGCCACGGAGCCGATCGGCGGGTGGCCCACCTGCGATCTCGCCGCCCCGAGCGGCGAGGCCGACATTGCTCCACCCCACCACCGAAACACACACGCACGCACTCCCCCCACCATTAGAGCGCGTGGGGAGACACCCTGGCCGACAGGTTTTCACCCAGAAGCCCTCGTAAAGGGATAATCTTCACGGTTTCCTGCGGCC